CAACACCACGCTACATCAACTACGGTTTACACAGATCATATTGTACAACACCATGCTACATCAACTATGGTTTACACAGATCATATTGTACAACACCATGCTACATCAACTATGGTTTACACAGACTATATTGTACAACACCACACTACATCAACTATGGTTTACACAGATCTTATTGTACAACACCACACTACATCAACTATGGTTTACACAGATCAAATTGTACAACACCACACTACATCAACTATGGTTTACACAGACTATATTGTACAACACCACACTACATCAACTATGGTTTACACAGATCTTATTGTACAACACCACGCTACACCAACTATGGTTTACACAGATCTTATTGTACAACACCACACTACATCAACTATGGTTTTACACAGATTTTATTGTACAACACCACGCTACATCAACTATGGTTTACACAGATCTTATTGTACAACACCACGCTACACCAACTATGGTTTACACAGATCTTATTGTACAACACCACGCTACACCAACTATGGTTTACACAGATCTTATTGTACAACACCACACTACATCAACTATGGTTTACACAGATCTTATTGTACAACACCACACTACATCAACTATGGTTTACACAGATCATATTGTACAACACCACACTACATCAACTATGGTTTACACAGATCATATTGTACAACACCATGCTACTTCAACTATGGTTTTACACAGATCTTATTGTACAACACCATGCTACATCAACTATTGTTTACACAGATATTATTGTACAACACCATGCTACATCAACTATGGTTTACACAGATATTATTGTACAACACCACGCTACATCAACTATGGTTTACACAGATTTTATTGTACAACACCACGCTACATCAACTATGGTTTACACAGATCATATTGTACAACACCACGCTACATCAACTATGGTTTACACAGATTTTATTGTACAACACCATGCTACTTCAACTATGGTTTTACACAGATCTTATTGTACAACACCATGCCACACCAACTATTGTTTACACAGATATTATTGTACAACACCACGCTACATCAACTATGGTTTACACAGATTTTATTGTACAACACCACGCTACACCAACTATGGTTTACACAGATTTTATTGTACAACACCATGCCACACCAACTATTGTTTACACAGATATTATTGTACAACACCACGCTACATCAACTACGGTTTACACAGATCATATTGTACAACACCATGCTACATCAACTATGGTTTACACAGATCATATTGTACAACACCATGCTACATCAACTATGGTTTACACAGATCTTATTGTACAACACCATGCTACATCAACTATTGTTTACACAGATCATATTGTACAACACCACACTACATCAACTATGGTTTACACAGATCATATTGTACAACACCATGCCACACCAACTATGGTTTACACAGATCTTATTGTACAACACCACGCTACACCAACTATGGTTTACACAGATCTTATTGTACAACACCACGCTACACCAACTATGGTTTACACAGATCTTATTGTACAACACCACACTACATCAACTATGGTTTACACAGATCTTATTGTACAACACCACACTACATCAACTATGGTTTACACAGATCAAATTGTACAACACCACACTACATCAACTATGGTTTACACAGACTATATTGTACAACACCACACTACATCAACTATGGTTTACACAGATCTTATTGTACAACACCACGCTACACCAACTATGGTTTACACAGATCTTATTGTACAACACCACACTACATCAACTATGGTTTACACAGATCTTATTGTACAACACCACGCTACATCAACTATGGTTTACACAGATCTTATTGTACAACACCACGCTACACCAACTATGGTTTACACAGATCTTATTGTACAACACCACGCTACACCAACTATGGTTTACACAGATCTTATTGTACAACACCACACTACATCAACTATGGTTTACACAGATCTTATTGTACAACACCACACTACATCAACTATGGTTTACACAGATCATATTGTACAACACCACACTACATCAACTATGGTTTACACAGATCATATTGTACAACACCATGCTACTTCAACTATGGTTTTACACAGATCTTATTGTACAACACCATGCTACATCAACTATTGTTTACACAGATATTATTGTACAACACCATGCTACATCAACTATGGTTTACACAGATATTATTGTACAACACCACGCTACATCAACTATGGTTTACACAGATTTTATTGTACAACACCACGCTACATCAACTATGGTTTACACAGATTTTATTGTACAACACCACGCTACATCAACTATGGTTTACACAGATTTTATTGTACAACACCATGCTACTTCAACTATGGTTTTACACAGATCTTATTGTACAACACCATGCCACACCAACTATTGTTTACACAGATATTATTGTACAACACCACGCTACATCAACTATGGTTTACACAGATTTTATTGTACAACACCACGCTACACCAACTATGGTTTACACAGATTTTATTGTACAACACCATGCCACACCAACTATTGTTTACACAGATATTATTGTACAACACCACGCTACATCAACTACGGTTTACACAGATCATATTGTACAACACCATGCTACATCAACTATGGTTTACACAGATCATATTGTACAACACCATGCTACATCAACTATGGTTTACACAGATCTTATTGTACAACACCATGCTACATCAACTATTGTTTACACAGATCATATTGTACAACACCACACTACATCAACTATGGTTTACACAGATCATATTGTACAACACCATGCCACACCAACTATGGTTTACACAGATCTTATTGTACAACACCACGCTACACCAACTATGGTTTACACAGATCTTATTGTACAACACCACGCTACACCAACTATGGTTTACACAGATCTTATTGTACAACACCACACTACATCAACTATGGTTTACACAGATCTTATTGTACAACACCACACTACATCAACTATGGTTTACACAGATCTTATTGTACAACACCATGCCACACCAACTATTGTTTACACAGATCTTATTGTACAACACCACACTACATCAACTATGGTTTTACACAGATCATATTGTACAACACCACGCTACATCAACTATTGTTTACACAGATCATATTGTACAACACCATGCCACACCAACTATGGTTTTACACAGATCATATTGTACAACACCACGCTACATCAACTATGGTTTACACAGATTTTATTGTACAACACCATGCCACACCAACTATGGTTTACACAGATTTTATTGACCATGACAACATCAACAAGTATCAGTTTTTACATAAAGTAATCACCATCCCTTGTCAGATCCACTTTCCCAAACTAACTAGAGTGTGGGATGGCCAGTATTTGTCATGTAATATTTTCTAGATTGAAAGGCTAAAAACAACCTCCAATCAGATATGAATGTTTTTCACACAAGCCTCATTAGCAACTCATCAGTTGTATTAGATCCTGCTAAAGATGTTGTCACACAGAGTCAGAGATTTGGTGTGTAGATTTCTACAGGGTTAGACAGATTACTATTGGTTTGCATGAAAACAGGAAATTGCAAGAGATAATCAGAAAGCCCTGTGGGTTAAAACTGTATTGATTCTAAATCTCCCACATGCCTGTTTAACTACACCATTGACAAAAGGTCAGGAAAATTATGATCAATAACATTAATGAGGAAGGAGGACTCTTAAATTCATTACAAAAGGATACCATGAAGAAATGAAATTGCTTTCCTGGTTTAAATTGAATCATTCTGAAGAATTCAATCTTGATTAAAATAAATGAACAAACAAAATCAATAATTGATTAAAATCACTTCCTTACTTTCATACTGAGCTCTTTGTTATGACTCTGATATCACTAACAACACAGGAATCTCAAATGTATTTTCGCTGACTTGTTTTAAGTCTAATCTTGATCATCCTGCTTTCCGCTATGGGATTCAATTATAAATTATGGCCATGATGTCCACAATACATCAATATTAAGAAATCAGATATATGTATCAATCACAACAGTCGACCAGTTTCGTACTCTCGGGCTTCTTCGGGTAATGAGATAGGTACTATCTTAGAGAGAATACAACACTAAAAGATTATAACATTAAGCTGTTTTTGGTCCTCAAGTAATGAAGAACTACATTGAGGGACATTGGCCCTCAGTGACAATACAGACATTAGTACTTAGTAATAGTACAGACATCAGTACTTCGTAATAGTACAGACATCAGTACTCAGTAATAGTACAGACATCAGTACTCAGTAATAGTACAGACATCAGTACTCAGTAATAGTACAGACATCAGTACTCAGTAATAGTACAGACATCAGTACTCAGTAATAGTACAGACATCAGTACTTAGTAATAGTACAGACATCAGTACTCAGTAATAGTACAGACATCAGTACTCAGTAATAGTACAGACATCAGTACTCAGTAATAGTACAGACATCAGTACTCAGTAATAGTACAGACATTAGTACTCAGTAATAGTACAGACATCAGTACTTAGTAATAGTATAGACATCAGTACTTAGTAATAGTACAAACATTAGTACTCAGTAATAGTACAGACATCAGTACTTAGTAATAGTACAGACATCAGTACTTAGTAATAGTACAGACATCAGTACTTAGTAATAGTATAGACATCAGTACTTAGTAATAGTACAAACATTAGTACTCAGTAATAGTACAGACATCAGTACTTAGTAATAGTACAGACATCAGTACTTAGTAATAGTACAGACATCAGTACTCAGTAATAGTATAGACATCAGTACTTAGTAATAGTACAAACATTAGTACTCAGTAATAGTACAGACATCAGTACTTAGTAATAGTACAGACATCAGTACTTAGTAATAGTACAGACATTAGTACTTAATAATAGTACAGACATATATTTATATATATATAATCGTAAAAAAGAAAAGCAAAGAGCAGTATTCCATGTACTTACATCACCGACTTTTTGGTTGCCCTCTGTCCCAGGCACTCGTGGGACAAGAATCTGATTGACCAGGTACTCAAATGTCAGGTGGTCAGTGTACTCCTCTGCAAGAATTTTATAGGACTTAGATGACCGGTATTTCATCTGCTGAATCTTTGGCTGAAATTAAGAAAATGTGATTAACATAAGAAAACATTGATATGAACATAAGGAAACATTCAACTTAACAGAAAGAAACATTCACCTTAATACAGGGAAACATTCACCCTAACACAGGGAAACATTCACCTTAATACAGGGAAACACTGACTTTAACACAGGGAAACATTCAACTTAACACAGGAAAACATTCACCTTAACACAGGGAAACATTCACCTTAATACAGGGAAACATTGACTTTAACACAGGGAAACATTCAACTTAATACAGGGAAACATTCACCTTGATACAGGGAAACATTGACTTTAACACAGGGAACATTCACCTTAATACAGGGAAACATTGACTTTAACACAGGGAAACATTCAACTTAACACAGAGAAACATTCACCTTGATACAGGGAAACATTCACCTTAATACAGGGAAACATTCACCTTAATACAGGGAAACATTGACTTTAACACAGGGAAACATTCACCTTAATACAGGGAAACATTGACTTTAACACAGGGAAACATTCAACTTAACACAGAGAAACATTCACCTTGATACAGGGAAACATTGACTTTAACACAGAGGACCATTCACCTTAATACAGAGAAACATTCACCTTAATACAGAGAAACATTCACCTTGATACAGGGAACATTCACCTTAATACAGAGAAACATTCACCTTGATACAGGGAACATTCACCTTAATACAGGGAAACATTCACCTTAATACAGAGAAACATTCACCTTGATACAGGGAACATTCACCTTGATACAGGGAACATTCACCTTAATACAGAGAAACATTCACCTTGATACAGGGAACATTCACCTTAATACAGAGAAACATTCACCTTGACACAGGGAAACATTCACCTTGATACAGGGACACATTATCATAACACAGGGAAACATTCACCTTAATACAGAGAAACATTCACCTTGATACAGAGAAACATTCACCTTAATACAGGGAAACATTCACCTTAATACAGGGAAACATTGACTTTAACACAGGGAAACATTCACCTTAATACAGGGAAACATTCACCTTAATACAGGGAAACATTGACTTTAACACAGGGAAACATTCACCTTAATACAGGGAAACATTGACTTTAACACAGAGAAACATACACCTTGATACAGGGAACATTCACCTTAATACAGGGAAACATTCACCTTGATACAGAGAAACATTCACCTTGATACAGGGAAACATTCACCTTGATACAGAGAAACATTCACCTTGATACAGGGAAACATTCACCTAGATACAGAGAAACATTCACCTTGATACAGAGAAACATTCACCTTGATACAGAGAAATATTCACCTTAATACAGGGAAACATTCACCTTAATACAGGGAACATTCACTTTAATACAGGGAAACATTCACCTTAATACAGGGAACATTCACCTTAATACAGGGAAACATTCACCTTAATACAGGGAACATTCACCTTGATACAGAGAAACATTCACCTTGATACAGGGAACATTCACCTTGATACAGGGAACATTCACCTTAATACAGAGAAACATTCAACTTAATACAGGGAAACATTCACCTTGATACAGGGAAACATTTAACTTAATACAGGGAAACATTCACCTTGATACAGGGAACATTCACCTTAATACAGGGAAACATTCAACTTAATACAGGGAAACATTCACCTTGATACAGGGAAACATTCACCTTGATACAGGGAACATTCACTTTGATACAGGGAAACATTCACCTTGATACAGGGAAATATTCAACTTAATACAGGGAACATTCACCTTGATACAGGGAAACATTCACCTTGATACAGGGAAACATTCAACTTAATACAGGGACATTCACCTTGATACAGGGAAACATTTAACTTAATATATTCAACATCCCAATGTTTAATCTAGATTTAACAGCTGTCTTTGAACTTTCATGACGTGCTCTGTATATGGACTACATTACCATATGATACACCTGCTAGCATATCACCTCATGGTTAAGGGAAGTTCTCATTTTGGTAATGCTTCAAAATAGTGACAATGATGTGTTGGTAATTAATAAATACCAGTGTAAATAAAAACAAATGCATATATTGTTTATACAGACACTGCATTTTCCTTGTAATGTTACTGCTGATTCTCGTCTGTTTGTTTGTCCAGTGAATAGAGGTTGAGACAGATATTACAGTTGTGTGACTTTACCAAAAAATGACATAACAATTCTGGAATTTTCTTTTCTTTATTGTTTAAGTAAATAGACAAAAGTTTGTTTTTTTTTAATTCCTGTATCTAGAAAGAGATATGAATTAGCAAATCCTTGTTTCCTTGTGTTCCGATAACCATTGATATATTGGTCAGCTTTCAATCAATGTTCTCCGTTTAATTCTGAGGAGTGGTTGTGATAATAATGGCTCCAGTGGGCTATAGTAGTGTGGACATCTCATCCATTAGACTGTCCATTAACAGTAAATTGATCTGCGAGTCACTCCCAGTCAGTGAAATGATGAGGTATATATTTGTTAATTTACCAGGACACAAAGGAGGAAATGAATAATGAGTGATTCCCCTATGCTCCACTCTGAGTGTGGTGTTACTTATAGTGTACCTGGAAATTAAACATTAATCCATTGAAGTCCATTATTATGAAGGATGCAGATAGCAGAAACAATAGTAAAGTGACATAATGACAACGTTTAAAAGTTACATGAAGGTAAATGGTAAATCCACCATCGAAGTCCATCATTATGAAGGATGCAGATAGCAGAAACAATAGTTAAGTGACATAATGACAATGTTTAAAAGTTACATGAAGGTAAATGGTAAATCCACCATCGAAGTCCATTATTATGAAGGATGCAGATAGCAGAAACAATAGTTAAGTGACATAATGACAACGTTTAAAAGTTACATGAAGGTAAATGGTAAATCCACCATTGAAGTCCATTATTATGAAGGATGCAGATAGCAGAAACAACAGTAAAGTGACATAATGACAACGTTTAAAAGTTACATGAAGGTAAATGGTAAATCCACCATCGAAGTCCATTATTATGAAGGATGCAGATAGCAGAAACAATAGTAAAGTGACATAATGACAACGTTTAAAAGTTACATGAAGGTAAATGGTAAATCCACCATCGAAGTCCATTATTATGAAGGATGCAGATAGCAGAAACAATAGTAAAGTGACATAATGACAACGTTTAAAAGTTACATGAAGGTAAATGGTAAATCCACCATCGAAGTCCATTATTATGAAGGATGCAGATAGCAGAAACAATAGTAAAGTGACATAATGACAACATTTAAAAGTTACATGAAGGTAAAAAGTAAATCCAATGCATCAAATTAGATTTTTATTCTGTTTCTTGTGTGTGACTTTCATTTTCTAAATAGAATTCAGATTTCGTTGTTTTACTGATTTTTCACCTTTCAGTCATTACACACAACTTGTGTTTTGTCAGCATTCCTTCTATGTTCTTATTACTCCTGAAAATTGGTAATTTACCGCACAATCAAAATTCTTCAAAATCCAAATATTTTAAGGAGTGTGTATGGTTCTTTATTACCAAGAAATCTCTTCCCAACCTAGTGGTGATGGAATCCATGTACTGTCGTCCTTATTATCACTGCTCGTGTTGACCGGGTAACTGATCTCATATTTGAATTGATCACATTGTTGAAGTCACATTCCAAACCATATGTCAGCGTGTTCTCCCTCAACATTTATATGTTCGTTTTATTTCTGAATCCCTAAGTGATCAGTCTCCCTTCTCAGAAATTCCAATAAATGAAGTGATTTCAGAAACAAAAAGGAGTCACAACATTTTATGTAGAAAGTTAATTTTGCTACTAAAATGGCAGGATTATATTACTTAACTTTTACCTTAAACTTCCTATTTTCTAATGCAAAACAATATTTATTTTGTTAAAATTTTAGATTCTGATACAGTATATGCAAGTATAAACTTTATGTGAGGTAATTGAGATCTGCAAATTTTGTGCTGTTGAAACATACACTGATTACTTCGTAAAATCTATTTGAGTGTTTTAAACTGTAATCATATGTATACTATGGTAATATATAATGTATGGAATGGCAACATAATTGTCTTAAAGACTTTTTAAATACGGTTATATTCCACAGGCATATCAAACTAGAACTGTCACCTAGATGGCTGACCAATACCCCCCGCACATTTATAATGTTTGGCATCCCCTAATAACCCTATATACTAAATTTGGTCAAAATTGGACAATATCTAAATATTGACCAATCAGAGGCCAGGATTGTGTTTCCGCAGTAACAGTTTGGGAAACGTCTAATATGTCCAATTATTGGCCTTACTGAATTACATCTTTTTACTAAGTTTGAATACAATCGGTCAAATAACTGAGGAGTTATGGACATTTATTAGAAAACAGGTTTATAGTGACCAGTTACCATGGCAACCAAACTTTTCAAAAAAAAAAAAAGGAGCATGCATATCTACACATGATCCTTAATATTCCTGTAAAGTTTCATCAAAATCGGTTCACAGGATTAGGAGGAGTTAGCCAGACAAAATGTGTCTACAGACAGACGGACAGACGGACAACCTGATTCCAGTATACCCCCCCTAACTTCGTTGCGGGGGGTATAATTAATTGTGCAAAAGCCTCAAAAATCCATTCAGCTCAAAACCAGGTGATAGATGTGAGAGAGCCTTTGGCCCTCATACCCCTCTCTTTTCGGTACCTCTCCACTACAGCTTATCAGAACCAGGTGATAGATGTGAGAGAGCCTATGGCCCTCATACACCCCCTCTTTCCGATTTGAAACCTCTCCACTACAGCTGATCAGAACCAGGTGATAGATGTGAGAGAGCCTATGGCCCTCATACCCCCCTCTTTCCGGTACCTCTCCTCTACAGCTTATCAGAACCAGGTGATAGATGTGAGAGAGCCTATGGCCCTCCTACCCCCCTCTTTCCGGTACCTCTCCATTACAGCTTATCAGAACC